GTACCAGAATGGGAAATATTTGAGCTACGGTAACATTGCAATATATATGAGGTCATATTTCTAAGATATGTTCAAAGAAACTTTATCTAACAAATAGTTCCGCCATAAAAGATAAAATAGCAAAAAAATATGGAATTATTTAATATGCCTAAAATTAATGCTGTAATATCACAAGTATACATGAACAAAGAGAATGATTTTTAGATCCTGGCTAGATGAGAGAAACAAATATATTTTCTTTATTAATTTCCCTTACTTGAGTGTTATTTGGCCACATATTACAAGAACCATTAAAATGATTCTTTTTTCATCCATTAACCTTACTTTTGGAAATTTATCTTAGAAAATAATTTAAGGTAATTAAAAACTTCACATGTAAATTTTTTCAAACAATATAAAAAAAGATATAAATAAATATATATATATAAAAGATACAACAAAATGGTCTAGCAAGCCATTTTGAGAGTATTTGATGGAATTGTTTAAAATTATAAATAAGCAAATTGCATAGGATCATGGAAATTCATTTATGGAGTAAATTAAGTAAACAATAAAATGCAAGCTGCATGATATATTCCACAATTATGCAGAAAACTCACCTAAGAACAAAGATTGCACAGTTCCATAGTGACAGACCTAGGAAAATTTTATCTAAGTTACTGAAATTTAAGTTTTTTGAAGGATGAAGGAAAAGCCATCTCAGGATATTCATGTCCCCCAACAGCCGGCAGACTTCCACACCTGTGCTTTACTCCCCAGTGCCTGCTGGAGGTTCTCGTCAGGGTCGGCCAGAGTAGAAACCGGGGTCAGCGGAGCACGGCAGCCGTGGCTGTGAGCACCCAGCATGGAACCATCCTGCAGCTTAATGACACCTTGGAAGAGAAAGAAGTTTGTAGGTTTGTCCTTGCTTTAATGTGACTGAACTAAAGTCACATTAGTGCTTCTCTCTTACTTCTTTCCCTTGGTTGGTTGGTTGGTTGGTAGGTGTTATCTTTTTTTCCCCTTGTGAATACTTCTCTGCTGAGCGGTCTTTCTGCCCACCTGTGCCTATGCAGGTGCTTCTTTCCACTCTCTTCCTCCATGGGCAGCCTCCTGCCCGCCCGTGACCTGCACCATGCCGGGGCTTCTCCTCACTGACCTCCCTCAGCAAAGGCGGCTCCTCTCAGGTCTGCCCCTCTGCAAGCATCAGGCCTCTCTTGGCAAACCTGTCCCTTTCTGATTGGCTTTTCCTGCCCACTTGTGTCTATACAAGTATCATTTACTCTTCTGACCCTTTCCCTAATAACCTGTTCTTTCTTTTTTTTAAAATAATATAATGGTTCACTTTTACATCATTTGTGCTTTTTTCCATCTCAGTTGTAATCCCTGTGGGCTTCCCATCACCAAATCACCCATGTGCCCACCATAGTCCAGTACACTTCCCTCTCCTCACCGTTTTTAATCCCATTCCCAACTCCACCCCCGTAAAATGCCTCTGTTATATAGTTGTTCATTATTATTATTTTCTCCCTTGGTCCTTTATACTCCTGCTATGAGTGAAACCAACCGGCATTTTTCCTTTTCTTGCTGGCTTCTCTCACTAAGCATGATCTTTTCCAGCTCCATCCATGTTGCTGCAAAAGGCATGTGTGTATTTTCTTTTTGGTTGCTGAATAATATTCCATTATGTATATGTACCACATCTTTTTAATTCAGTCATCTACTTTTGGGCATTTGAGTTGTTTCCATATCTTTCCAATTTTAAATAAAGCAGCAATAAACATGGGGGTGCCGTATCTTTTTGAATCAGTGTTTTTGTGTCTTTTGGGTAGATACCTAGGAGTGGGATTGTTGGGTCATATGGAAGCTCCATATAAACCTGTTCTTTTAAATAAGTAAAAAAACAAACAAAAATAACAACTACTTCTCTGCATCTTTACAAGGAAAGCCGAGCCCTCAGCCTTGAAGATATAACCAAAACCCTACTCTATTTCCTAACCCATTTTTTCTTGACTTTACCTATTCTTTATAGACTGGAATACACGTTTGGAGAATTTGGAAACTATTCTCTCTTGGTAAAGCACATGCAAAATGGAGCCAATGAAATTACTTGTGACCTAGTGGTCAATGAGAAGCCAGCTGACAGTAATCTTCGTACGTACATGCTCTTTGTTGATTTTTTTTTAAAAGATTTATTTATTTATTTGTATAGAACTGGGGTACAGGTCAGAGATGCAGAGGGTGAGAGGATTCACCAGAGACGGAGCGGGGAGCAGAACAGGCAGAGTGACGAAGTACACTGCTGAGGGGAGCAGCGGGCAGGTCAGGAGAGGTCTGCCGTGCCATGTGGTCACCTCCGGGGCAGGCGGGGATCGAACTCATGTGGAAGTGGCTTTAGCTTCTTAGTGCTGTGCTTTAACCCGCTGTGCCACCAGGGAGGGCCCCTTTGTTGATTTTTTTTATGCTTGCACTTCTAGAGGTTTTAGCATCGGCACTCTTTGCAATACTTTCTGTAATTTAAAACCTGGGTTATAGTTTTTCTTTTTTTTTTTTTTAAAGATTTATTTATTTGTGCATACAGAACTGGGGTACAGGACAGAGGCTCGGGGGGGTGAGAGGCTTCACCAGAGACAGAGTGGGGAACAGAACAGGCAGATCGACGAAGTACACTGCTGAGGGGAACAGCGGGCGGGTCAGGAGAGGTCTGCTACATCATGTGGTCACCACTGAGGCAGGCGGGAATTGAACTCATGCGGAAGCGGCTTTAGATTCTCAGTGCTGTGCTTTAACCCGCTGCGCCACCAGGGAGGGCCGGTTATAGTTTTTCATTTAGTTTTGGCATAATGCATTGATTATATACCAAGGCAATTTTGTGATGTGTAAAATAGTTCTATATCAACATATTCTCATAAATGTTAATTTGTTTAATTATGAAGCATAAATAAGCCAACAAAGTAAATGCAGGGGAAGCAAACTAGAAAGTGTCTTTTCTTTTGTTAGGATTTAGGGTACAGGATTTCCAGTATGTGTCTCAAGTTGACAGTTCAAATGTCTTCTTAGAGTAAGAAGGGGCCATTGATTCCCTAATAACAGTACTGAAGAATTTCTGTCACCCTGAGCCTTTTCATTAAATACAATACTAAATCTCGGGGGCATTAGTAGGCACTACTCACAGTGAAGCTCCTGAAGGCTCTATGGTCATATGAAAGGAACATAATAGCCAGTATGTCAGGGCCAACATTTAAACAAGAAAAAGAATCGTGAGTGTAAATGATCGAAACACATTGATATACAAAAATAAATGAGTTTATAATAAAAGAGTGAGGCCACCTTCTGGACAAATACAAACATACTTTGGAGATAACAAAGGTACTTGATGTTGGCTAGGGTGATTTAAAATTGTCAGTTAGAAGGAAACATTAAGCATTTATCCTGCCTTCCCTGTTTTAACTCTATTTTAGGATAACCAAAAAGACTTGATAAGAGTAAATTGAGAAGAATTTCAGCTAATAAATGTGGGAGAATTGCAGAACCTTTTTCAACCCCTAAGGAAATGATTGATTTAGAGGAAAATCATGAGATGTCATAAGGGGAAGGGGAAGGCTTTCAGCAGTTAACACCCCTCCGGGCACAGAGCCAGAGACAGGAGTGGCCAGCTGGCACAGTGGAAAACACAGCAGCACCTGACTTCACAGGCGGAAGGCTGAACGTTTTTAATGAAGTTAATTTCCCCTTTACAGGATGTTTGACAGATGGAGAAACAGTGACACCCTAAGGACATATGCGCATAGGTCTAGAATTCAGACTCCCAACAGGGGATGCTGACTTCTTTAAAATAAGCCAAAGGCTGCTTATGAAACTTCAGAGCAATAACAAGCAAACCAAGTTATGAACCTTGTTTGAACCCTGATTTGAAAATACTAACAACAAAAATCATGTCTGAGACTAGAAAATTTTGAATTTTAGTATTAGCCAGAGGATTAGTGTTAATTTGTTTTTTTTCCCCCCAGCTTTTCTGTCATTTATTTCTTTAGTTTAATTCCATTGCATACTTAAAGGTTTCTCCTAAAACTTTCTAATTTGTAAACATTTCTAGTTAAAATTTTTTTTTCCTAAATTATGTTTATTTAGGTAAAGTAGATTTACATTGTTGCTCTGCTCTGGGAGTTTTAGTTTAAGCCTCTAAAAATGTGTATTTTCAAACCCTGAACTCATGTTGCAGTGGCTTTGGAGAGCTTCATATTGCATTGCTTTAACCCACTGCGCCACCAGGGAAGGGCCTCCCTATTATTATTATTATTATTATTTTCCTATTATTTTTAACTTTGTATGACATTGTGATTATAGAATAAAAGTTTCATTTTAAAGAAACTTTACATTTTGAAATAGTTTTAGATCTATAGAAATGTTGCAAAGAAGAGTTCCCATATACCCATTCTATCAAAATTCCCTAAACCCCTAAGCTCTATGTAATGGCACAGTTATCCTCTAGACAGTTATAAAACCAGGAATTTAATACTGACATGGTGTTATAAAGCGATCTGTGGGCATCAGATGTGTCCAACTGTCCCTTCTAGCAGTGTCCTTTTTCTGGTCCAGGTGCCCATCTGGCATGTGGCTGTCAGTTCTTCTTAGTCTCCTCCAAGGATGAGAGTTCTTCATCCTTTCTTTGTCTCGTGAGACCTTGACAGTTTTGAGGAGACTTAGCTAGTTATTTTAGTTACTTGGATTTGCTGACTTTTCTTTTGGTTCCTCAAAGGTTGGGGTTTTTGGCAGAGTACGTGGAAGAGATGCGCCTTTCTCAAGGTCTTGTCAGGACTTGCGTGTGCTAATGTGCAATCTTACTAGACCATGCTTTAGAGGTACATACTGAACATGTAGGGACGGTATGACATGTCTGTGATTTGCTTAAAAATACGTTATCCGGGCCCTCCCTGGTGGCATAGTAGATTAAAGCACAGCACTATGAAGCTGTCCAAGGACAGTGCAGCATGAGTTCGATACCTGCCCTGGAGGTGGCCCACATGGTGCAGCAGACCGCTCCTGACCTGCCCTCTGTTCCCCTCAGCAGTGTGCTTCATCGGTCTGCCTGTTCTGCTCCCCACTCTGTCTCTGGGGAATCTTCTCACCCTCATACCTCTGGCCTGTACCCCAGTTCTAATTCTTGTATTCATAAGTAAATAAATCTTGAAAAAAATACATTAGTCAAAAAAACAGGAGACAGTTGCAATGGATGAAACAAGAGAAACAATATCTTGCTAATTCTAGAATGTGCATGATGGGTAGGCAGTTAAATAGTTCTGAACTTTTGTGGATGTTTGATATTTTTCATAATGAAATTTAGCACTCCTCTTCTGTATTCTCCATTGTTTACAGGAAATTTAGCATAAGAATACAGGCTTGTTCCTCATTTGTCCCCATTTTTATTGTTTGCATGTTTCATTTAGAGATTGATATAATGATGTGACAGCTTGGATGCTTACAGTGACATATTTGGTGATGACATGCTCTTTTACTTTATAGCTGTGACTGTCGCATTCCTTATTGGTCTGGCACTCATCATTGGGATATCCTTTTTAAGGTTCTTGTTGAGGTAAGCAGATGTTGTGTGTGTGTGGGGAGGAAGTAGAGTATAGAAACAGTATATTTAGAAAAGGTGGTTTTGGCTCCTCCCATAACCAAAATAAATGCATTTTGTGCATTTTGTCCATTGTGCCCAGTCCAGTCTAGCTATTAGGGATTCAAGGCAGATTAAGAGTCAGAAATGGTGACCTAGTGTGAATGAATCTTTACCTTCTGTCCTTCCATGTTTTGCTTCATAGTAGGGGGAAGTGGCCTCTGCCATGTCGGTATTAATTTCAGGAGGCAGCTGCCCTGGTGGATTCTCTTCCCCTTCTTGGGCTCTCACCCCCTGGGTGGTCCCACATCCTCGCTCCTGCCAGCCCTGCATCCAGGACATGAGGATGAGGGGAGGTGTCTGGGAGTTCAGTGTGTGCTTCCTTCCCAGGTTTAGGTGAGGCATCTCGGGGAAGAATTCCTTCGTTGCAGAAGCTCTTTGAGAAAAAGTTAAGAAAAAGAAAGTAAAATAGATCCAGGCTTGGTAAATTATCTTTCACAGGAAAAGTCATGTTCTCAAAGGGAAAACATTGATTAGGTTTTCATATGCTCAACCTCCAGAAGGACCACAAGATTTTGCTGGTGAACAATGGATTCAGTTAACCAAGCTTTTCTGCTAGCTGGAGAGAGCCTGCAGCTTTGGGGAGTTTATGTACTTTGATCTGAAGTCTTTAAGTATCCTGTGACTTAATTCTCTGTAAGAGAAACACAGTGGAATATAAGGAAAAAGAAGTACTTGCCCAGAAGCAGACGTGGAATCTACCTGCTGTTTAGAGAAGCAGGATTAGCCCAGAGGAGTTTCATTTCTTTGGGTTAAGGTATTACCTTGTGAGTCCTTTGATAAGATGCAAATGCTGTTCCAGTGTATTAGAGGATTTTCCTTTGGTGCTTTAAATATGAATGGGCCTATACATCTGTGTTTAAATAATTGATAGCTGTTAGCTAGCTCTTACAAAGAGAAAAATAATCACTGTGGCTGGAAACTTCTCTTTGTAGTCTGTGGGCAGAAATGGTATTGTGGGCAAGGCAGTATGACCTTGAAAGTCAAGGGAAGGTCAGGTTTGTCTGAGCCAGAAAATAATCTGAAAAATTAGTTAGACTAACGCATCTTTTTCCTTTTCACCTGAGTAACAAACATGTACAAGAAAATCAAGTGTTTTTTTTTTTTTTAAGTTCTTTTTTCTCACGTACAAACTTCTGGTGAAGCTTTTAAAACATTTTTATTTATTAAATATCTTTTCCTTTTGCCCTTAGTGAACTGTTTTAACATTTTTCACATGCTGGTGCTGTTACCAGTGCTAAATAAACTAGAAATGGGAATTGAGTTGTGGGAGGAAAATTAAAAATGTAGAATTGGATCTATGGATCATGTTTGGATACTGATGCAAGCAATTAAAATTTAAAAAGAACCCTTATGAGCCAGGGAAATTGGATTGGCTTTTGTTTGCTGGGAAATAAGGGGATGTTGGCTGGGAGCACTAGGATGTAAGAATTTACCAGCAATAGAATTAGGGACAGGAAAGGCAGATTCATCGAACATCCTGCAAAGGGGCCCTGGGGGGAGGCAAGAGAGGGTCTACATTGCAAGAAAGGCTTGAGGCTCTCTTCTATACTCTGTTTTTATGAACTCAGTTATCTGCTGGGATTCTGGTCTTGGGCATAGAATGTGTCCTCACTCTGCTTCTTCATCCCTGGAGCTTTAGCTGGTCTTGGAGAAGGTGATGGGTCTTATGGCCTGGTTCCCACAACAACCTTACCACTCCTTTTATTCAAGCCTCTCAGACTTGCCCACTAGGGAAGAAGTGGGGGCTTAGTTTTAATCCTTATTATCAACAGATGATACCCCAGCAACTATTTGATGGTATTAAAACATGATTGATAATATCTAATAATGATGTTTGATTATTTTTAAAATAAAGAGAGGCCTTATCTTTAGAGATACATACTGAATGAAGTGTGGGTGAAATGACGTGCTATCTGGGATTTTCTTTAAAATAATCAACCCAAGGTGGGGAAAAGTGTAGTGGATGGACTTCACAGATGATCTTAGACTGTGTAGAGATTTATTGAAGCTGTGTGATGGGCCCATGGAGTTTTATAATCTTTGTTTATTTCTGCACATGCTTGAAAAAAAGGAAAAGAAAGAGAAAAAAAAGCCCATACATTGGATAGTTTAATGTGCAAGATTCATTCACACAAAACGTGGGTAGTTTGTTTTTGCCAATCTAAAATTATACATTTTGAAAGTTTTCTTTTCAAGGAGAAATCACATTTTAAAGAAAAAAATTCATATATTTATCTTTTGTTAATCACATAAAGCAATATCATCATACTGATGTAGTTTTTGGAGTCAATTGGTTGAGTGCAGGGGCCTTGGGCTCACTCTGGGAAAGGTTTCTCCAGTGCTCCCCTGTCAGCAGCATGTGGTGAGGTTCTCCATGACACAGAGATGTCAGATATATTTAAGGAGCGGATTTATTAGAAAAGGGACAGAAACGAGAAGGATACTTGCATAGACGCAGGTGGGCAGGAAGAACTGCTCTGAAAG